AGTAACTGTTAAGGGGATCCAGGCTTCAGAAAGTGAAAAAATTGCCAAAATTCACTTCTTTTTTTTATAGTATTTTATTGTTATTTGGTTATTTATGTACAAGAAAATATAAGTTTTATAGGTATCCTACACGTTTTTCATAACAAAAAATATATTTTCCCCAGATACTACATGCGCGCGTCTTAGTATTTTCTAGGACTTCGATCGCGATTCCCCGAAAGTTGTGGTTTTTAGTGTTTTGTAACAGAAAATTTGATATATCTCAGCCAATTTTTGTCCTATCATGTTGAAATTTTTACCAGATGTTCTTTATAGTATTTACAAACTTTTGGGTATAATTATTAATATAAGTCAAATAGTTAAAATAATAAAAAAAATTTTATTTGAAATATAGTATAAGATTTTTTTTTTTGTTTTTAACCTTTATAAAATAAAAACTAATTATCCTACAAACAAAGTAATACCCAGGATTTCAGTAAGTGTACATAGCTACAAAAAGACACCTAGTTGAACAAAATTGATCAACTATTTTATGAGTTATATCAAAAATAAAAATGTGTTACGTTATGATACATAAAAATACATAAAATGGTACTGTGGTACATAGAGTGGCTACAACAAATAAAATAACAGTTTTTAGGCCCATTTGATATAATAAATATCTTAAAAAAATGATAAACATAAAAAATTTAAAAAATGTATTTTCTGAAGCCTGGATCCCCTTAAGGTTATTCCACTCGATAAAATCATAGATTAAACACTACAATTACGTGTCAAATTAAATGTTATGAAATTTAAAACAAAAGTTTTGAATAAATTTTCAACATATGTTTTGAAATAAAAACAAAACAGAAGTTTTCTAACTAATCTTGCATCGTTGATTATTTAGTCAATGGGGCTATTTCATGTTAAACATTCCTTCAGCACAACAATAACCTACTAATGTGAAGAAATGTAATCAAAGTAAAATAATTTTGTAAACTTCGTGAACATATGTTTAAAGAAACCAAATCTTAAATGTTTCAGCCATTCTACTTCCATTTACTTTGATTTTAACCATCTCCCACGATTCTACTAAATTTCATGCGCTTGGCTAATTTACATACAAATACACAAATTTGCAAATTGCACAGTAAAATTAATTTCAACATTCTAAGACATAACGACAAAAGTCTCAATTGTAGGTAACGTCATCCCTGGTTTTATATAGTATACAGTACATTGCAGAATTTACTGGCAAATGAGTTAAATCCAAATGTAATATTGCTTACTGGCTTAGATGAATCACGATCAGCTGTATTGAGGTAAACAAAAATCAACAGACAAATGGCTTCTAATGCTATTCTTATGGAGAACATTTTACGTTATATTATTGACTAAGTCAAAGGTTTTATCTAATTTTGTGTTAAGATTTGGGGAATTTCACTATTTTTCCGGGATCGAGACCTTTAATTTGAACCCTCTCCCGTCGTTCTACGACTACCCAGTCGCCCACAATTTTGACGCAAAGAATCGGCTTTCGTAATTAATATATAGATAGATATTTAATTTCCACAAAATCAGTTAATGTAACCAATGCGTTTCGTTGAATTGAAAAACAAAGAACACAATTAAATTAAACAGCTGATGTAAACAATATTATGTTCTTCGAAAGGATAACATGGGAACTTAAAAAGCCACTGTGGCAGAGGCCAAGGGACTTTTTCAAAAAATTTAGGCCAGTTTGCAAATCTACGCAACACGCTCTTTCCAATGAGACGTCAGTGGATAAAATCGGTTAAGAAATGGTGGAGGATTCAACCGACAAACTTCGTGTTCGCGTATTAATTATATAGATTTCATATGTGCATGAAATGTTGGTGTGAAACCAACTTGTATAACTTTAAGCTAAATGGTTTAAGTTACCTGGCTTCGTCAAGTGATCCTTCTTCAGTATCACACTACTATAGTTTCGGACTTGAAAATAAGTCCATCTTCAGAAAACGTCAATAGGTCATCTAACCAAATTGGTTAGATGACCTATTGACGTTTTTGTTAACCTGAAGTCGGACTTCCAGAGGCTACCTCACCATGTATACCTTTGAAGTAGAGGCTATATTTATTCCCAAAAGGTATCAAACGCCAGATCCTGATCAAATCTTTTCTATCACTTTAAAGTTTGTTTCGTGTTTTTTGTCTTCACGTACAGAGACTTAAATCTTTGTATTAAATTGTTAGCAATCATAAATCGTGGACAGAATCTTCCACAAAAGATAAATACAATATAGTTCAACACCCTAGAACTCCTTAAAAAAAATATGTTTTGTTAAGGCTTCGTCATAATGTTAAAAATACTCAATACAACAAATTCATTAATTTTACATATGTAAACGTTGATAGTTGTGTGCGTATTGTATTTTAATATATCTTCTGTATACATATAGTCCTCTATATTTTCTGTGTACACAAATGCTTCTGTATACACGTTTTTGCAACTCACAGTAACTGAGAAATATTCTAAACTGGTGAACTGTTTTTATAAATTTTTGCCATTATTTCTCAACCCGTGCTTAAAAAATTAGTGACTCGTGGATAAATCCAGATACGAAATTTAATCTAAATCGGACCACAGGTTTTGTCTGTAGCTCTGTATCTGGATCATACAAGTGTGTATTATATAACCTGATATTAGTCAAAATATGTTTTATTCTATAACGTTTAATTTAATCAAACATAAAAGTCATGCTCCCTCCATTTTTAAAGTATTCAGTCCAAAAATGTAATAAATTTACTTGTGCATACATATTTATTTCGTTTTAATAAATAATTGAGGTGATGCAATACACTTATGTAGGCAGTCGCAGCAGTCGAATCCGGGCATAGCGCCTAAAGTTTCACGAACGCAAACCGCGCAACGAGTAGCTAAATGAGCCGTAGAGTAAGTGAGCCATCTAATATTTTGAAGAGGGTTCACTTACTCTACGGATCATAGTGCCAATGAACTGTAGAGTAAGTGAGCCATCTAATATTTTTCTCCAGGCTCGTATAGTATACGAGCCTATTCCTATAATTTATATTATTCATTATTTTGGCTCGTATACTATACGAGCCGATTCCTAAATTATCAAATAATTCGTAAGCTTGGCTCATAGTCACTATGATCTGTAGAGTAAGCGAACCTTCCTACTGTATTTTTAAATATAATACACGAGGCTCATAGGCACAATGATTCGTAGAGTAAGTGAACCCTCTTCATTTATTTTTTATTTTCGATAGGCTCGTATAGTATACGAGCCTGTAGTGCAAGTGAACCTTCAATATTATTTAAAAAGCTCGTATAGTCTATGATCTGTAGAGTAAGTGAGCTGTCCCCGGTATCCACTGCCCTGAGCTATAATATCTCAATGGGGGTATCATACCTTATAAAGGCATAGCTTATAATCGTGAATTTTTTCCATAGCTTACAGTCTTGAAAAAGTGGCATAGCTTATAATCAGTTATAAGCTATGCCACACTTTCACGACAAATTATAAGCTTACAATTTCTCTAAAACGTTATAAGGTATAAAACGTTTTAGGTTTCACAACTTATAATGGTGAAATAGAGGCACAGCTTATAATTCCAATTTTGTTCTATAGCTTATAATCCTGATTTTTAGTCATAGCCTACCTATAATTCTGATTTTGTGGCATAGGTTATAATCGAGAAGAAAAAATAAATATAAATAAATAAATAAAAAGGTCTTTATTTAGCAAGCGTTTTTCAGATACGATATTTTTTTCTGCTTTTCAAAACAACTCTTGTCCTTAAGTGGTCACCTTTGAGGTTTGAGGAAGGCTGTATTTTTCAGGATTAGTTTTGCGAACAGTGTCATTTGGAGGCTTCAGATTGGCTGTGGGAACACCATTACCAAAACAAAACGATATGAAGAGATGACATCGGCCTCGGTGGTCTAGTGGATAGCGTGCCGGGCTGCGTCATTTTTATTTCAATATGAGTTGCGGTATATAGGGGGATTCAGTATATTGATTGGCTTGAGAGAAGACCATTACCGCAACGATACGGTGAGCAGCCATCGGCTTCGGTGGCGTAGTGGATAGCGTACCGAACTGATAATCTAAAAAGGTACCAGGTTCGAATCCCAGTCATGGCACTAACTTTTTGTCTAAAATTTTTTCACCATCAGAAGGTTTGGTTAGGTTATGATAGTTTAATTTTATAATTTAAACATTATAAAAATGAATTAGAGCCATTTAATTATAGTTTTATTTTATAAACATAACTATTTTTTTCGATTAGTAAACCTTCATTGGATTTTTTCATCGTCAGCAAGTTTGGTTGGTTTGGTTAGGTTATGATGGTTTAATTTACAATTAAAAAGTTATAAAAATGAATTTGAGGCATTTATAATTTTATTTTATGAACAGATATATTTTTTAGATTAGTAAACCTTCATTATAGCCAGTCAAGCCTCCAAATGACTGCATTATGCCCTATATGCCGGAACTCCAATTGAAAAAAATTACGCTGCCGGGCTGATAATCTGAAGATACCGGGTTCAAATCCCGCTGGTGGCACTAACATTTTTTCATCATCAGCAAGTTTGGTTGGTTTGGTTAGGTTATGACAGTAGTTTTATAATTAAAACATTATAAAATTAAATTTAAGTCATTTATAGTTTTAAGTTTGGTTAGGTTATGACAGTTTAATTGTATAATTAAAACTTACATATTTGTAACTTATTTGTTACTAATTTGAGGCATTTATAATTTTATTTTTTGAACAGAACTATTATTTTTCGATTAGTAAACCTTCATTATAGCATTGACTATAACACTTGTAGGGTTATATAGTCAATGATTTATAGTCAATCAGAAGCCTCAAAATGACACTGTTGGCAAAAATAATCCTGAAATAAAAATTGTGCTTGAGGAAGCGCATCGATGTTTTGTGGTTCCTCGTCGTCTGCTTTTGTTTTGGTTTTTTCCACGGAGTAGATTTTTTCCAGCTCAGTCAGAGACGTCAGAGTCAGAGAGTGTCAGTTCAGTTGGATAACTGATAACTTCTATAATAAGTGAAAGGGGAAGACAATGGGAGTTGTTGTTGTTGCTGACATATTTATAAAGAAATTAAAAGTATGTAAATACATTTTATGGTAGCCTATTTTTATTATTATTAATTATCTCAACAAGTTGTTACAATGTTCTACATATTTCTGCCTAAGCATAATTTCTCTTAAAAATGTGTTACGAAGGTCACTCGGTGAATGTATGCTGATGCTGATCCCAGAGTAAAACGTGAAATGTTGTGTTAAATATGCTTTTCTTGGCCAAATACTGTAATGTTATAACCTATTCCGTAATTAAAATAGCATATTGTACTAAGTGTTTGTATCTATATGGGCATTTTTGGCGGCCGTTAATTAAGTTTACCCAAATACATTCTAATGTTGCCACATTTTTTATCTTGTTTTGGTGCCTCAGGGTTTAGTTCTAGTTTTCCTAACACTCAAGTTAATGTTTGCGAAATCAATTTTTGACAGATTCGTATGAAGTCTTAAAGGAAAAAAAACACAGCAATTAGCATATTTGAAGTCATAAATATTTAATTGTTGGAATTAACGGCAGAGATTTTATTGCTGGAACTTAGCCTAACTTAAACGTCAAAACTTCAAAATACTGCAATAGATTTGTTCGTAGTAGGTCCTATCTGGTCAATCTAAATTAGGCCTAGCGATTTATTCATTGTTTTGTGATTAATAGGATTTGATTCAATAACTTAACCGTAGGTGTATGGCTCTGGGGAGTGGGATTTTTTGACCGATATTTATCTCTATTCGGGGAATAACTTAACAATTAAGTTAACTGATAACTTGTAGCCTTATAGCCTAAATTCAAAAGTGTTCTATCATTAATATTTAATCATGTAAGAAACCCAGTGGGTAGGCCCTACAGTTCCACAGAGAACCTGCGATATATTATTGTATTATATAGGTAAGATATCAGAATAAAATATTAAAAGGGTAGCCTAGACTTCCGCATCTGTTGGCACAAACAACCGAATGAAAATATTGGTCGATATATTGTTTGGTTAGTTAAGCTGGGTTTTCCTAGACGCGAAAGAGGAGAGCGGAGGGTGGAGAGTGGAAAAGCAATTAATATGGCGTTCTGCTCCGCTTCTAGGAAAACAGTAACATTACTTAAAAACTACTTAAGACAAGAGGAGTCCGCTCTCCGCGTTCATCTCTCCTCGCTCCGCTTCCGCGCCTGGGAAAACCCAGCTTTAGGTAAGGTTCCTAACAATATATTGAATGAAACAATAGAATAGCCTAATCGATATTTTCATTCAGTTGTTTGTGCCAACAGATACCTACGTAAGTCAACCCTATTAAAATTTTTAACTTAAAGGCCCCTATAGGCCTAGCCTACCTATAAAATATTGAAAAATATCAGTTTTTCGATAAACCTTCTTCCAAGGGTAGGAACCTCAAATAACTTAAAGGGCTGTAGGCTAAGTATTTAATCACATTTAAACATGAACCATCGAGTTTGGTACCGGCTACCATTTCGAACAATAGTGTAACTTAGTTGCAATTTTTTTCAACATAGCCTACTGTAGGTATATACATTAAGAGGCGGTTTGGAAGCTCGGTATTAGCGCTAGTCCGTGACTAAGAACCGGATATTTCCGGTATTTAAGCTGTCCTAGAAAACGGGTTTGGGAGCTCGAGATCAGTTAGGCGCGCGCCTAACTTGTGCAGGTATAATCTCGCGCCTAAATATTGTTGGTTTAGGAGTCAAGTAGACTTAGGCACCAGCCTAAGACAGACTCGGTGGGTGGGTTTGGGAGACCAATTTCGGGACTAAGAGATATATTTTTGTCGTAAAAATTAGTGAGTTTAGTCCCCAACTTTAGTCCTGCCAGGGGGCAGGTCTAAGTCGACATCATGCCGGTATTACCTCATTAGCAAGTTGATTGTTTACGTATTAACTAAAAGAATGTTGTATTGGAATTCGTTATTAAATTCCGAACGATTTCATTACTCTCAAAGCATATTTGATAAACATTTTTTTTTAGGTTTCTGTTGTTCAAAATAAAACAAAAATCTTGAAGGAAGCTAAATTTATTGAAATATTAGGCCTTTGTTTTTTTAGCGAATTTCCCTATAGGGAAGTAGCTATTACCGTAGGTGGCACGGTAAGACCTAGACCCGGGACCGCTTTACTTTTTTATTTTGATGTCACCAGAGGCCAAAAACACCATTCGTTCAAATTTTTATATATGTATACGGGGTTATATATATATACTGGGGGTTTTATGGGGTAAAAATTGGTTTTTCTCATTTTTGACCCTCAAAACACAAAATTTCCCAATTTCTATTTAGACCTTTTATAAGAGCTTAAAAAAACAAATAATTTAGTATATTAGAGTATTTTTGTTCGGTTTAGTACGGTAATGGAGAAAATTTAAAAAATTGTAAATTTAAAATTTCCATGTTATTCTTATGGAGAATATTGTCAAATGTTGTAGTTTGCTTGTTTATGGATATATTTTGATCAAACTTGACAAATTTATTTATTTTGTACTAAGCTATCAATATTTTACTAAAATAACACACTTTATTAGTTTCCTTGTAGCAGCAAACCTAGGTACTCGTTAAACCTAATGTTATTAAAATATATTTAACTGAAAATCAATTCAGACAAATGGAAATTCGCTTAGTCGGCAGGTTTGCTGCGGCGGGGGTATTTGTTTTTACTGTTAACTGCAACGAAAATATGGACCCTAAAATAGAATTTCTTTCAACTGAGAGTTTGGTTAAGCATCCGTACCTTAATTATAAATATTTTATTAGCTAGGAAAAAATTAGCAACCACATACATACCCACTCACCCCCTACGAAAGAGTGAAGAGATAGTAAACAAAACATATAAAAAATACTGCAAATAGCTCACAGTCATAATCGTTTTCTTTTAATTGCGTTGTGATTGAGCTCAGTTCAGTGTCATTGACCGAGTGCTAGTTACATCAAAATGGAGTACCTAGATTATTTGTAGTATAAGAAAACAAATACAGTATATCAATAACCCGCCACAGAAAACCTGAAGAATAAGCGACTTTACAATAACCTAATGGAACTTTCAATTAAATTTATTTAAATAGCTTTAGGTTTAACAAGTACCTAAAACTACCTACGTGTAGGTATGCTACTACAGGGAGGGTAATAAAGTGTGTTTTTATCAAAATATTAACAGCTTTATATAAAATAAATAAATTTGCCAAGTTTCATCAAAATATATCCATAAACGACCACAATACAACAGTTAACTTATTCTCCCTAAGAATCAAATTTACAAATTTAAATAAATTTACAATTTTCTGAATAGTCTCTGTAGCCAATAACCGTACAAAACATTTTAAGATACTAATTTGTTTTTATGCTCTTTAAAATATTTTAAAGATAAAGATTTATGTTATAGGGGTTAAAATGGAGAAAAAAACTATTTTTATCCCATAAAACCCCGGGTTCCCATGGTCTGATCATGCTGGTTCGCGAACTCATTAAGGCGAATCGCGCCTTACATTTTCATGCCAAATTTTATCAAAATCAGACAAAAAATACTCTAGTTATCACGTTCATGGACGTATATATAATATAGGCTATACACATATAAAATTTTGAACGAATAGTGTTTTTGGCCTCTAGGGACTTCAAAATGGAAAAGTATATCGGTCCCGGAACTAAGTGCTATCTACGGTAATAGATACTTCCCTAGGAAAATTAGATAAAAGAGTGTCATGTAAAAAAAAATTAAATCGACAAAAATTTTTTTCTAAGTACTGTATTAAAAGATATATTTTACATTTTTACCTTGGCTTCGCACAATCATAACCTCCGCAATCACTTTTTATTTTTTTCGTCAATACCCCTATTACTGTGAAATTACTGTTTAATTTTGAAGCTTTTTATTGAATGAAACCGAGTTTCAGATGTTAATCCTATGTTGCTCTGTACGCATTTATAAGGTGTAGTACTTAAAGACAACTGATTAAATAATTATAAATCGTAAAGTGAAAATTAAGTTAGATCTTAAAAGAATTTAATATAAAGAATTACGGTTCTTCAGTCATTGGGATGTAAAACAACGATCTTACAAAACTAAATTTTTGCAATGGTACAATGCAGAAACTACACCATAGTCTACTAATTAGCCACCATTGATAGGACCAAGATAAAATTGTATCCATCTTTAATAATTGTTCATCTTTTGCTGTTGTCAAGGGAAACGGGTTCTGCAATGGCCGTAGCCAACGTCAAAACCTGAATTCCCCACGATTCCCTGTCCATCTAGCCGCACTGCAACTTAAGCGCGACTATACTTGATCTACGACCATTTCAACTTAGGCGCGAGCTCCCAAGCCTGGTTCCTTGTCCGGGGACTAAAGTTAGGCGCGTCTAACACCAGGCGCGTACTAGCTGGGCTCGAGCTCCCAAACCGCCTCTAAGAGTCCTTGGAGGCTAGTGGCCATCTTGGATGATTTCAAACAGCTGCTGAAGATTTATTTACTGTCCAAAAATATTTTTTCAAACACCAAAGTGATCATAATTTAAATATCTAGTAGGGCCTATAGGCCTACTGTGAAATTAGAAATGTTCTTTGTAGTTTTGAATTGTTCTCCAAGGGAGTTCATGGAAGCCAAGCGGCCATCTTGGATTTGCCCACCATAAGAGCAATGTTAATTTCGTTAATTTCAAACAACCGTTGAAGAGTTATTTACCATCTCAAAATATTGATTTCAAACACCAGAGTGATTGTAATTTAAATATCTAGTATACTGTGATACAACAAATTGTCTTTGTAGTTTTTTATTTGTTTAACGAGTTAGAACATCTAGGCTCCAAGGACTCTTTAAGTACAACATTTTAATTTTAATTTTTCTGTAAGTTAGTACCGTAGGCTATTCTTTGGTCAGTTAAGTTATCATCCTCTTTTGTCCGGGTAAACAACAGTTGTTTTTGTATTCAGGAAGCCATTTAGCATCTTATCGGTGTAAGAAATATACTACTTTAACGTGTGACGTCTGTGATCGATATAATTACCATAATAATGCACCTTACTCATAATAACTGAATTATCGATACACAAATTAATTGGACCTACCTACTCTATAAAAGATGGTAGCATTAGGCCTATGTGATAAAGTTGTAAAATATTGTGTTAACTTATTAATTTTTTTACCCATGAACTCTCTCTCTTTATTTAGTTTCAAATATCATTACCTCCTAAAAGATGAGTTAGTAGCATTCTTTATAGTAGGAACATATTTTCTTCACAACTTAGGCTAAATCGTTCAGTAAAAATAGTTGAATTAAAAAAATTCTGTACCGGTAGGCCTACTTATAACATAATTCGCTCAGAAAAATAAGTACCGGTACTTAGTAAGTTAGGCCTAGACCAATTTTTTTCATTCCTTTGTAGGAAAATAAATTGGAAACACTCTGTTTTATCTTGGATTTTCGTTGACAATTTAAAACTTACGAAAATGTAAAAGCTTTTAACTAAAAAAAATGTATTTTTAGGTTAGGGGCCTATATTGTTTCAAACCATTTTTTTAAATAGTCCTATTTATAGTTCAGAAGGTAATTGCCATATTGGTTTGAATTAATATGAGTTTAAAAAATATGTCTGCATTGTCCCAAAAGTTTTCTTGCCACTTTACTAACTTATGCGAGTTAACTGTGCGCCAGATAGAGGGTTAAAGGTTACTCAATTAATCAATTAATTTACTATCAATTTATTTATTAATCAATTAATCAAGTAATTAATTTTGTGGTCCTTTCAACTCATAAGAACTCACAATTTTGTTTTCTGTTCTAGGTTGGGAAAATGTCTTCGTCATATTCCTAGTTTACACTAGAAATTATCAATATAGTTTTCTATTGTTGTTATACAGTACGTGTTCACTCAGTCTACCAACATTTTACTTTCCACATTAACTGTAAAGAATGGCTTCATCAGACTCAGAACGTTCTATTGCTGGAATTTCCCTCCCACAGTGGATGAAAAATAAGATCAACGACCGGTGAGTTTGATTTAACCTAGACTAATAAACTGAAAACAAATATTTATAATGGTTTAAATACCTGCATTCAGTAATTCATTATGCTGCTTGTGGCAACTATAGTTTCGGTTCACAGGGAACCATCTTCAGGCCGTACAAGGCGTCGTTATTCACTTCCATATATGAAGGTCGTCATAAGTACATAGAACACGAACACACGAAAACACACATTGACACGAACATTTAACATTAAAAATACCGAGTATATATTTTTTTTTTTTACCGAGTATACTCGGTATTTTTAATGTTAAATGTTCGTGTCAATGTGTGTTTTCGTGTGTTCGTGTTCTATGTACTTAATGACGACCTTCATATATGGAAGTGAATAACGACGCCTTGTACGGCCTGAAGATGGTTCCCTGTGAACCGAAACTATAGTTGCCACAAGCAGCATAATGGATTACTGAATGCAGGTATTTAAACCATTATAAATATTCAAACGTAATCCGGAGGCTAACAACTCTTAAAAATGAAAACAAATAGCCTAGATTACAAGGAAAGATATGAAATGGGAATATATTATCTTAAAATGTTTAACTATTATTTTAATTAGATATATTACCAACTTCAATCATTATAGTTTAAATGCTACAAACATTGAAAGCGAAATAAATAGTTAGTACCAGATGACCGAGCCTTGCTCGGCCGTGGTAGATTGGTTTTTAACTGTTAAAACAATATCGTAAACAGACATTTTATAATTTACAAAACACATTTTTATTACAAACCATAGACATAATTGATCCCTGAAATAATAACAACTCTTTAAGTAAAAGTAAGCAATTAAACCATAATAAGATACACTTTTATAATCTTGCTTTAAAGTTTAAGTGCTACTCGCACAGAATTTATCTATTACATATATATTTATGCTATTACTAACACAATTTCCCTGATAAGCTAATACCATTGACTATTGGATACTGAAGCTAGGCCTACTACCAAATGGATACTACACTGCTGACGTTACAAAAGCTGTAAAAACATGCAATTTACATTTATATGCTAATGGTTGCCAGATTCATTTGTCCTATGATTTTAAAGCATCTTACTTTAAAGCCTTTGATGCCATTAATAATGAACTGAATGCTATATCTGTGTGGTCTAAAAGACACGGATTGAAACTGAACAATGATAAATGTTTAGTTCACCATATTGTGCCACAAAATACATTAAACGAAATCAGGCAAGGCATGGTCAGAAAAATTTAAATGAAGCTATCAATATATGCGAGAAATTAAAAACTCTTGGAGTGACTCTTGATGAAGACCTGACGCTATCTGACCATGTAAACCTCATGTGTCAGCGAGCCCTTGGCCGGCTGTGGGGTCTATATAGATTGAAAGGGATTTTTCCTGAGAGCGCCAAAATCAAACTAGCCTTGGTATTGTCAGTATTTGATTATTGTCTCCCCGCTTACGGAAATAGCATTACAAATGATGACCTAAATAAAATCGAACGATTACAAAATGCATCGTTTATTTATAACTGTAGGAGAAGAGACCACATAATCCCTTACAGAAACGCTGCACACGTTATGCCAATTAAAGAGACTTGTATACACCTAACCTGCAGTCTGATACGTAAAGCTATAGAGCTCGGCCAGCCTGAGTATCTGTATGAGAAACTTCTCTCTTGCCAAGATGTCTCTGCCCGCAGCACAAGGCAGAACAAATTGTTGCACTTTCCTAGAGTCAAACATGAAGTGGGGAGGCGCGCCTTCTCATACTTTGGTCCCGCCTTGTATAATGCTCTCCCTAATCAGGTAAAGGGGGCCAACACTGAACACATTTAAAACAAGGTTAAAAGAATATTTGTGTAGCAAATGAATTAGTATTTTAGGTACCGTAAATTTATGCTTTTTTTATTTTGATTGTTAATTACTGTTAATTTTTTGTATAGAAAATTCTGGACATGTTAAAGTAATGTTTTCAAAAATCTTTTTTAGAAATTGTTGTAATAGATTCAGATTGTTAGTATGGATTGTTTTTACATATTTTTCATAGATTGTTTCATAGTAGTTTTCATATTTAGGTATATAGAATGTTTTTGTAGCGTGTTTTATATGTATAGTTTATTAGGATTAACCCTCGAGGAGGCACTTCACCAGTAAAACGGGAGGGGGTGCATGCAGAGTTTTATTCCGCAACATTAAACAGCATAAATTTTACCCATTTTGCTTGTTATTATAACGAAATATTATATGTAAATGTTGAATAACATAATCAGAAACATAATTTCTTTGTTAATAACATTATTAACAATATTTAAATATATTATTAAATAACTTATTATTAAATAATATTATTATTAAATATATTAGTAATATTTCAAATAAACATATTGCGCAATTTTCTAGCATAATAAAAGTATTACTGTGGGTGTTACGAGAGAGGGCGCGCACAGAGTTTTGTTCCGCAATACATTTCCATTCAAACAAAATATATTTTATATTAATTATAAATGAAATAATACATTTAAAAATGTTTATAATTTCGTATTTATAAAATATACACGCAGTTTCACAAGAGCGCATGAGAAAATAAACTCCCCGCTAAGGACTTACGCGATAGGGCACACGCGGAGTAAACCTCCGCAAACTGACACCTTGTGACTGAATTGCAACTGACAACCAAATGAGGAGGAATTGGGGGGTAAAAATAACTTATGGGCATACCCGGGATGTGGTGCGAGAAGTGTAGAGCCGGACATGATTGCCGACACCCATTATGCATATTTATATTAACAAAAACTACAAGTGCGGAGGAAAACTCCGCAAGCGCCCGCTCGAGGGTTAAGGATTCAATTGTTTGGATTCAATTGTTTCTGAAAAACGCTTGCTAATAAAAACCGTTTTATTTTTTAAATATTGTAATGAAATTTAAAAATAGCTTCCTCAGAGGTTCTATTAGGAGACTGTATGTGTAGATCTAAAAAACCCCTTTAGGATATAATCAATGACGCAATCAAAGATCTGCCCCTTGTGCAATCAAAGTTTTGTTGTTATTATCATGACATCCCAAATACCCCAACATCATAAATCCCAAAGTACCCATGAACTTTTGAGAAAACTACAAGTCACACCCCCATAAACCATATACTTAAAATGTTCGTCATGACAAGAAACCTTGCACAAAACTATCCATTATTTCATGATAAACTGCCTTTTAATTACTTATTTACTTAAGTACTTATTTCTTTGTTATCCTTTCAATTTACTACCTAAAATCTGGTGTGATTATTTATTTGTACTGTATTCGTATTCTGTTTTCGTTTTGTTTATTTCAGCTTAACTTAACCAATCAATACTTTTATTAATACTTATGAAGTCAAACGGGGTGAAGCCCGTGGGTAACAGCTAGTATAAATTATTCTCATTTTATGTCTACAAATAAAAAGGTATACAACTAATTCCTTTCAAAATAATATTGCTGGGCTTAAAACGTGTTTTATAAATTGTGATTAGGAATTCTCAACTGATCTATCTGGGAACCATAGTTTGGTGTACCAATGAGTTTTATGATTAGTTTGAATTCAAAACAGCTATTAATATGTTGAACGTACATTTAGGATCTTGGCTTAACAGTTCAAAATTTTATTTTTGATATCCATGGTTGAAACAAATGATTGCAATATCGAAAGTGATTTCATTAGGTTAAGTAGGTATTAGTTTAAAAACCACATTTACTGTATTAGTGATATCACTTATAATGTAGTTAAGGAAAAGAACATTTTTATTCTGACAAGTTTATCTGTGCTGTTAACTTATTTGTTGTTTGGTGACCTGTTGGCTATTTTTAGACTAGCTTATTGACCATTGCTGATGTCAACAACAAATCAAGAATTCTTATAAATTTCTTATTCTTTAATTTTTATTTTAAGTAATAGTAAAAGATATTATTAAAAAAGAAATTATCACTTGAAGAACGCAAAATAAGATAATAATGAAGCATTGTTGAGAGTAATGATGAATAGTGTTAATTTAATTGGGGTATGTTTGTAATAAGTAACAGTTAAAAATGCAAATGCAAACAACTATTCTTTTGCAAGACGCCTGGAGTACATCCATAAATTGGCATACAACCTGGCTGTAAAGGTTCATTATAAGGCGCCATGTAATATTACCAGATATTTGATATTCTTAATACCAAAATATGAAATCGATTGATTGAGGTTTTATACTCATACCACTCCTCTCGCGCTCCTTGATTTTTCCAAGTCTTCCGTTTATATTTCCGCGTCAAAATTTGTTTGAAACACTGATGTAGGCCTACCGTTTAAGATTGTACCAAGCAAGGAAGAGCACAAACGGCGATGGCCACGTAGCATTTTTGTACCTCAGTAGTAGCTCACTGGGTCTTCCTACAGTGTGAGCACTGTAGTATATGATGGCTAGAGGGTAAAGGAAAGCAGAAGGGTGTACGTTGAATAGAACTTGCTCTAGACACCAGGGAACGGTGCTAGACACCACCTAAGTAAAGTGACCATTGAATGTCTCCTATGTTTCTTACTTCCCTGTGAAGCATGGTAACCAAAAATCTAGCAAAATTTACAAGATTCAAATTTTTAGGATCCAGGCTTTATTAGTGTAGTAGAAGTCATTATAGTTTCATATATGAACAGTCATAATTATTAGTAACGGAAGAGTTATTATGTTTTGCGGGGTGGCTGCACTGTGCACTGAGCCCTGAAGTGGGATGATTCGTCACGGCTCCTTCTTCTATGTCCACCAACGATAGTAAGTGGTTCTCTCTTAATTACTGTCCACTTTTCTTGTGTTCTAACGTAACGGTTAGGTTACGACATTTTGGCGCAGTCGGTAATAAACCTTTTTATCATAGTTAGGGTAGTACGCGATAACAGTTGTTGTTTTAGTGCGTATTATAGTTGAGATGATTAAAAATGGCGAGTATTAGTGTTGGCAGGATTTCTGAATTTAATCCAAGTGAGGAGGACATTGT